ATATAGGATGTAAAAAAGTAAGCTTCCTGTAAGGCTCATTAAATCCTGCTCAGCTATCACTTGGGTATCTTCCTGTTCCCACTCATTCTGTTTGCCAAAGCTCATAAAGCAGCAAAACCTGATGTTAGAGGAAAGGGAGCTGTGCTCCCCTTGCTTGTTACCAGAGAGACCAAGAGGAAAGAACAGCCAGTGTATTTGAACAAACCAGGTCATTACCTCAGTAAGGAAGAGGAAAGATTACAAGTTAGGCCCTTCTCCCTATGAGATGGATTTTTTTTTTTTTTTTTTTTTTGGTAAATTTTGATTTAGAGTTTAAGAAAACTGAAGCCGGTGCTGCCGATCACTAGGCTAATCCTCCACCTTGCAGCGCCGGCACACAGGGTTCTAGTCCCGGTTGGGGCGCCGGATTCTGTCCTGGTTGCCCCTCTTCCAGGCCAGCTCTCTGCTGTGGCCAGGGAGTGCAGTGGAGGATGGCCCAAGTACTTGGGCCCTGCACCCCATGGGAGACCAGGATAAGTACCTGGCTCCTGCCTTCGGATCAGCGCGGTGCGCAGGCTGCAGCGTGCCCCCGCAGCAGCCATTGGAGGGTGAACCAACGGCAAAGGAAGACCATTCTCTCTGTCTCTCTCTCTCACTGTCTCTCTCTGCCTCTCTCTCTCACTGTCCACTCTGCCTGTCAAAAAAAAAAAAAAAAGAGAGAGAGAGAGAGTTTAAGAGACTTAGTAGATTTAAAAAAAAAAAAACTTGACTGAAGATAAATTAACAATGTAGGTATTTTGTCTTCATAATCATGCTTCAATGTTAGGCATCTCAAGTACTGTTAACAGTCACATATTACCTTGGTTAACAATGAACTGGTTGGATTGTAACTAGGAAGCCTTGGAGCTGCCTTTACCTGATATGTTTCCCTTTCTTTTCCACTTGCCCTTTACCCGAGGCAGCTAAATCCAAGAGCGAAGAGCATAGCCTCTGTGTGGCTTGTTGAATGGATGCATCCACCCACAACAGACGAGATGTTCTTGGAAGCTCAGGCTTCACATTGCAAGAACAGTGACCTGGAGTGAGGACCGGTTTTGACTTCCAAATCTTGGTCAAAATGCAACAGAAACAACTGGGCTGAGTGATTTTTTCCCCCAGTAGAGGACAGACAGAAGATAATAAATGGGTTAGAGGTCTTCTCCAAACACTCACAAAGCTTCAGACGCCCTGGAGAAAAGAAAAGGATAAAGAGCAGGAGACACAAGGACTGCACAGATGTAACCAGATGTGACCAAATTTTAACTGAAATTTTGAATAACAATAAATTACTTAAGATAGGAGAGATTGCATTTTCCATATCAGCAACAATTAGGAGATTGAGAGCTAAGAAATTTCATCAGAAAAGTGAACCACAAATAATGTACAGTTAGTTAGAATGTGGATATAAGGATAAAGACTGAGACAGAGACTGAAGTTCAAAGATTCATTCCTCACCTAATTCAGTGAAATGCCTTTTGAATCACTCCACGTGTGAAAAGTAACTGGTTGATGGGGCCAGCATTGTGGCTTTGGGGGTTAAGCTGCTGCCTGCAATACTAACATCCTGTATGGGTACCAGTTTGTGTCCTGGTTGCTCCACTTCTGATCCAACTACATACTAATGACCTGGGAAAAGCTTCAAAATATGGCCCATATACTTGGACCCCTGCCACACATGTGAGACACCCACAAGAAGCTCCTGGTTCCTGGGTTTGGCTTGGCCCATCCCTGGCTGATGCAGTCATTTGGGGAGTAAGTTAGCAGATGGAAAATCTGTGCATGAGTGTGTGTGTATGTGTCTCCCTCTCTCCATAACTCTATCTTTCAAATAAGTAAATAAATCTTTAAAATAAAGTAGTTGGTTGAAATATGAAATAATGAAATATGTAATCTTTGCACCGTTTGAAGTACTCAGAAATGCCCGAAATGAAGGTTTGATAAGATGCAATTTTTAAATAATTTTATTTTAGATATCTTCAAAACTGCTGTCTCATTGGGAATTTTAACATCCTTTGTAATTTCAGTGTCCTCTAAACTATGAACTCTTCTCAAATGCTGAAAAAGAGCTAACTTCTTCCAAATTATGTCTCAATTTTGAAGTTTCCCAAACTTGTTGAAATATAAGATATATGTAAGAGGGGCCAGCACTGTGCCACAGTGAGTTAAAGCCCTGGCCTGAAGCGCCAGCATCCCATATGGGCGCCTGTTCTAGTCCAGGCTTTTCCTCTTCCTATCTGGCTCCCTGCTATGGCCTGGGATAGCAGTCGAAGATGGCCCAAGTCCTTGGGCCCCTGCACCCACGTGGGAGACCCTGAAGAAGCCCCTGGACCCTGGCTTCGGATCGGCACAGCACTGGCCGTTGCGGCCATCTGAGGAGTGAACCAGCGGATGGAAGACCTCTCTCTCTGTCTCTACCTCTCATTGTAACTCTGTCTTTCAAATAAATAAAATAAATCTTTAAAAAAAGATATATGTAAGAAATAAGTTTCTTAAATTATGGATAAAAATAGGAACTGTCTCCTTATATATAGGGCAAGTAAGGGTTTTTTTTTTTATATCTTTTTAAAGCGATTTATCTATTTGAAAGGCAAAGTTGGGAAGAGGTGATACAAAGAAAGAGATCTTCTATCTGCTCGTTTGCTCCTCAAATGGACATAAGACTGAGGCTGATGCAGGTCAATGCCAAGAGACAGGAACTTGATCCTGGTCTCTCACACGGGTGGGAGGGGCCAAAACACTTAGACTGCCAGCTGCCGACTTCACAGATTGTGCTATTAGGGAGCTGGATTAGAAGCAGAGCAGCCAGGACTTGAACCAGTGCAGTGATGTTGGCATCGCACGCTGTGCCACAATACTGACCCCTATTTTTATATCTTGGTCAAGAAATGCCCAAGCTCTTATTAATCGCTTAGAATGTGATTTGAATTATGTGATTCAGAAAGAAATGAAAAAAATTGCGCTTATTACTAGGTGAGCATTTGGAACGTTAAGCTACTGACCAGATACAGAGTGATCTAAGACACAATGGTGTCTGTTAAAATTGTTGCTGTGAAAATTTATTTTTTTCCAACTAACTTAGAATCTTACAAACTGAAATGGTAAATAAGCAATAAAAACCCCCAAAAGGATTGCACACACACCTCAGACAAAGAAGCAATGGATCTACATGTTCTGTGAGTTACAGGATCAGGCATTGACTTCAAGTTCCTACATTCTCTTGAGCATGAAAATACCCAAATTTGTCTGATTTATGTGGAAACAAAGTGATGAAAAGTTTTCATTAATGCCAAGTGCCATGCAAATATGAAATTGACGATCTTTGCAAAACACAATGTCAGTACAGCTGTGGCTTTTCAGATAGATTTCTTAAAACAACAAGAAAAAGATATTCTCTCAACAACTATAGGACAAAAATGGGTTTATGGCAAGGATATAAATTCTTGAGTACTTAGGACCAGTTGAACGAGCCCTGCGGAGGTACCATAATTGTGGCGTCACACTCTTATCAACTTGCTTCTCACTCTTACTCTTGCTTTCATTCTTTCCCTAGTTCTAGCTCAGAGGTTACAAATTCTCTTTCACTTCTCCTTTTCAACATTCCCTGTCAAGTACCTTTCTCCACATAGCCTTGTATACAATCATTATGGCCTCCAGCCTTTCTCGGCTTGACCTTTCAGTTCAGGCTCTGGCATGTCCTGTCCACTTTTTTCTATATTAGTTCACATTTCCAAGGAAGGAACTTGATTGGCTGAGCTTATCTACCTAACAGAGCCCATAGATTGGCCAAAACATTAGTCAGTGTCCATTGTAGTATCACTAACAGATCATTCCTCCACAATCAGCAGTATCAATGGTGGTTGAGCAATAGAGTGAGGTAATAAAGGGTTAAATTCATAACATGGCTTGAAATTCAGACCATGGGTGAGAAAAAGCATAGAGGAGGAACTAAGAGCCTGTGCTCTGAAGTCAGACTGCATGATCTGAATCGCAGCTGTGCAGATGGTACTCAACCTTTCTAGAGGACCTACTGCATCAGCTGGGTATGAGAGATTAGTCTTTGTGTCACCTACTAATTATTTGACAAATATTATAAATACATAAGAGGAAAGATTATCCCTTCCATAGACAGATGTCAAAGGGAAGAGTGTGAACAGTTGAAGGCACAAAGAGAAACTGAGACAGAGAAAACAAGAAACTGGAAGATTTTCTAATCAAATGACTTCAGTTTGCAGTAAATGGTACCATCTTGCTAAATTCCTAGTGATTTTAGTCTGATAGGATCATAATTCCACTAAGTGAACCTTCATGATAGGTACCTACGTCAGAGCAAGGCTAAGTGACGTCTTTAAATATTTATATTTTCTGTAAAATACAGCAACACAGTAGTAATATAAACAAGCAGCAAGAGTCAGCATTTATGTAGGTTTGCCACATGTTGGAGAATATATATATATATATATATTTAATACTTATTTAATTAATACTTATTTCAATCCAAGAATATCTGCTTATCACCATTTTACAGAAAAAGAAACCAAGGCAGAGAGAATTTAAATAACTTGGCCAAAGTTGCAAAGATGGCAAACAGCCAAGGTTTGGTTCACAGGCTGAAATTCTGCAACTTACAGCACAATACATTGTTTCTCTGATGAGATTTTCCTCAGGTAGCCCTCAGATTTTTTCACCTAAATATACTAAGCAAATTCATCTGAAGAATAAAAAAAAAGTTCAGTGATTAACAACATTACAATAAATATGTAATTAAAAAAAACTCAGGAAGGAACGTGTTTTCAATAAACTATTACAAAAAATTCTGAAAGTAACAAAAATAGATATTAAAAAATAATGATGTCTGAAATTTTAATGTAAGCTATTTCCTTTGTCTCTTTTCTCCTCTTGAAAAAATAAAAAAAAAGGGCTTTGGGAGAGTTTGGCGAAATTAGACAAAGTGGAGTCTGAGTTGGAGTGACCTCACAGGAAGCCCAGCTACTCCCAGCTGCCTGTGAGCTCTGACAGGAACTCGGACGCTCCCTCTTGGCCCAAATGACAGGACACACTTTGGGCTGGTTCATCGGCAAATTCTTACCTTGCCCCTTCACTGTTAACAGGATCAGATTGCATCTCTTTCAGTCTCCTCCACTCCCACCTCTGTGACTCTTTAAAAGAAGAAGTAGAGAAGATAAATCCACTCTCATCACCTGGAAGGGAAGACAAAACAGCCTCAACTCCGTTTTGAAAAAATCTTTCCAAGACCTTTCTTCAGAGATTTTACTCGTGAGTATTTGCAAACATACTGGCTGGTGCACGGGAAATAACTTTTACTCCTCTTTCTTTAGAGAAAAGCAGGCAAAGTCGAATCATTGTGTTATTTTTCTAAAATGAAAATCAGCCCTTCCCTGTGAACAAAGTAAACTCGCTTTGCGATGCAAAATTGTTTTCAGCATTTTGCACTTAACTTCTTAAATGCATGTGTGTGCAGTACATGTTTCTGCATTTAAGATCAAGAACATTTTTGTCAATAATTGGGGAGATGCAGCCTTTTTATAATTTTAACATTGTAGTAGAATTCTTTACTAATTGTTTCCGGTTAATTGAAATTTCTTGAAGTTTGGTTTACCTTAAAATTTTATTTAGTAACATACAAGGAGACTGTCAGCTTCTATGTAAAGAAACTTCTTTGCCTTTAGCTGGAGATTTTTAAAACGAAATATAAATAGGAAAACTATTTTAATCTTAGTATTTCATGCCAGCATTTACTAAATCTCTCTAAGGAAATATATTACAAGTCTCTAAAGACTAAAGCAAAGATTGTAAGATACTTAAATAAGAATACTTGTGATCAAGTCTGTATATTCTTCAGTTACATAAATTAAAACAATAGATTCCATACCCATATGATACACTGTCATATTCTTGCTGGTTCTGAAATGATTAAACTTTGCTTCTATAGTTAAGAAGAGTACATAATATAGTGACCGTCAACCACAAAACTATGAGACAACAATTATTTATTTATGGAAAAATCTCATTTGTATAAGGAACTATGAAAAAATGAGAGCTAAGACCAGTACCATGAGGGAGAAAAGAACAGATAAGCCACAGCCACACTGTGACTCAGAGCTCTGGAAATTAGTCACAAAATGACTTTGTATAATAGGAGATAACATAAACGTAGAGGCAGAACCCAAGCAGGAAGCATACAGCTGAGAAGATCGCATTTTCTGTGTAAACGCATAACGTTTATATCAGAGGGTCAAAGTTAAAAAAAATTGAGATATTTCAAAAGTTTTGAACCTAAGGTAATCTTTTATAAAACACTATAAGGAGTCCTTTAAATTCATCATTCTACTGCATGATTATTTCAGGGCATATCTTCATATCTTAGCTACCCGTTAAACTAATGGATAAAGTCCTCTGAAAACTTATTTGAGTAGAAAATAGTTCAATAAAATGTTGTGAAATTTTAACAGGGATCAGCAGAAACTGAAAATATTAATGGAAATAGAAATAACTAACATAACAAAGTAAAACCTTAAAGCCAAAGTAAAATTTTAAAATACCTACATTTATCAATGCAAGTAGTTTCTAATGAAACCAAATTTGTCTTATTCAGGTGGCCATAGAATCTTGTTGACATCTTTACTGATGTGTATATATTTCTATTTGGTTTGTCTCTCTATTATGTATGTTATTACAATTTTTGGTTTCAGTTTATTTTCCTTTAAGGTACATTCTGATATCTTTACACATTTGTGTTATTTCCAACGACTACTTCTAAACTCTTCTTGGAAATGTGGCTCTCATTCGAATAGATTAGGTCATCAACTTGCACTAGATGATCTGAATATCCATGAATCTGTGTTTCATTTTGATTGTGCAACTATTTTGACTAGAATTTTATATTATAAGCATTCGTGTTAGATTTTAAAATGATAATATGTGAAATGGAAAAATGTTTTGTAATAAACTACTGTTTTTATAACTTACTTGTTCCTTAAGAATTAATGTCCTGATTTTGGTTACCTACATTATTCAAATGCAGAAGTCTATGAGACAGAATGACAAACTATTAAATGTACCAGGACAGGCTCAAAGAGCTCAATTTATTTCCAGAGCACCCAGCAATCTAACCAGTTGTTAAATGTATTATAGCTTCTTTAGGAAAGGCTGGCTCGTTAACTTCAGTGTCACAAGTTGTTTTTTTGGTTTTTTTTTTTTTTTGAATTCATATTTTCTTTTTTTTAAACTTCTATTTAGTAAATATAAATTTCCAAAGTACAGCTTATGGATTACAATGGCTTCCACCCCCCATAACTTCCCTCCCACCCACAACCCTCCCATCTCCTGCTCCCTCTCCCATTCCATTCACATCAAGATTCGTTTTCAATTATCTTTATATACAGAAGATCGATTTAGTATATATTAAGTAAAGATTTCATCAGTTTGCACCCACACAGAAACACAGAGTGTAAAATACTGTTTCAGTACTAGTTATAGCATTACTTCACATTGAACAACTCATTAAGGACAGAGATTCTACATGAGGAGTAAGTACACAGTGACTCCTGTTGTTGACTTAACAATTTGACACTCTTGTTTATGGCATCAGTAATCACCCTAGACTCTAGTCATGAGTTGCCAAGATAAATTTCAACTGATATTTTTACCTGATAGCAGAAAAAATACAGAATTCACATACATGTCCAAAATTAAAAATAAAAAAGGCAGAGACAAAAGGTGAAGAGAAGTACTCAGAATGGAACTTTCCCCCAAAATCTCAACCATTAGGATAGATTACATAAGTTGAATGATAATAAAGATTAAAATAAGTTAATCTTCCTACCAACTTACTCAGTTACATAGATGTGATCTATTAATTTTACTACAATTTCATTCATCCATTACCAGTAAAGAGTTTCTCTAACCAACCACTTTTTTTCTGTTCATCATCTACAGCATTTAACTCATTTGGGAAATTCAACTTGGGGCATTGGCTCTTCAAAACACAAAATATATTTTTAAATGCAGAAGTATCACAGTTAGATTCTGCCATCTTTTATAGCAATATAAAAACACCACATAATTCTTTCTAATTGTTGCCATGCACATTGGGAGAAATTTGATTTCAACAGCTTGAATGTCTATGGAAGTCCTTGTTTCTGAATATCAAGTGTCACTGAAATAAGGAAAAGGTGAACATTTTTCTAATGATTTCTTTTCATCCTAGCCATCCTTCTTGTCTTTCTGGGATCAGCAGTGACTGCTTTCTTATTACTGTGTATCAACTCCATGGGTATGAGTTTCTACTGTCCTACACTCCTTGTCTACACTTTTCCAATTGCTACATAGCACCAGAGCCTCATTCAGCTGTCTAATGGCTGAGAGCAATTAATCATCTTTACCGTCTTTGAAAAATCAATAATTAGCAGGGAACACTGGGTTCATCTCAAATCCAGTGTTTTCAGCTCCGTTCAGGCTTCCCTTTGGGATCCTATGTTCTCTCTTGCTTGTAAAAAAATTTTTTTTTTTTTTTTTTGACAGGCAGAGTGGACAGCGAGAGAGAGAGATAGAGAGAAAGGTTTTCCTTTGCCGTTGGTTCACCCTCCAATGGCCGCCGCGGCCTGCGCGCTGCGGCCGGCGCACCGCGCTGATCCGATGGCAGGAGCCAGGAGCCAGGTACTTCTCCTGGTCTCCCATGGGGTGCAGGGCCCAAGCACCTGGGCCATCCTCCACTGCACTCCCTGGCCACAGCAGAGAGCTGGCCTGGAAGAGGGGCAACCGGGACAGAATCCGGCGCCCCGACCGGGACTAGAACCCGGTGTGCCGGCGCCGCTAGGCGGAGGATTAGCCTAGTGAGCCGCGGCGCCGGCCTATAAAAAATTTAAAAACAAACAATAGAGTACCATGAACAATAATAGAAGTCCCAGTGCTGCAACACTTATCCCAGTTATTCCATCTAGTAGACAACACATCTCTGGAGAGACAGATTATTGCAAGAAATTCTTCAATTATACAGTGACTGAACAAATGTTATATGTTATCTAGTTGCAGCATAAGTTATTTCAACATCAGGAATGTAAAAATAGCCATCAATAGGAAACTGATAAAAAAGCAAATAGTGTATTTATTACTAAGCATATTGTGCCACCATTTCTATCCAATCCCTAAATATTATGCTAATTAATCTGTAAGAATCATCTCACTCCTCACTCAAGAATTAAACACAGAGTAAAGCTCAGAGAATGGATGAGTCTCCAGAATAATAGCAATGCTTTTGGTAAATGATGAATACTTGCTTAATACAGAGTTGCTTTTTGGGATGGTGAAAAATTTTGGAAATAGATTGTTATGATGGATGCATAGCATTATGAATGTAACTATGGCCATGAAGTTGTACATTTTAAACTAACTAAAATGATAAACTTCATGGTATATCTATTATAATTTAATTACATTAGAACCACAGTACATACTTTGCATGGTTTGAATGATTTCTAATTTATTGAATCATGCTTTATGGCCCTGAATATACTCTAAACTGGTGAATGCCCTGCCTTGAAAAGTTTGTGGGTTATACTACTGTAAAAATGTAATATTTTATGAAGGTCAATTAGATCAAGCTCATCCAGATCAAATCTTAGTATCTTCAGGAAGTGTTTTTGCATAGTTTTTCTATATAATAGTGGGGGTTGGTTATTAAAATCTGTGTTTGACTATTTCACTTTCCAATCTTGCAGTGTTTATAGTAATCCTTTTTCTGATATTTGATATGTTCAGGTTTAGTCACCACCTTGCTATCCTTGTTGTTTTGGTTCTGATGTTTCATATTTTACATTTCTTAGATTTTCTTTTGGACTGAGTATTACATGCAATATCATTGCATCTCCTGTAATGGTCTATTTGCTGGAATATTGTAGTTTATTTCAGTGGTTGCTTTTGGGTTTAGAATATGCATCTGTGATTTAGCATAGTCTACTTTCAAGTGGTATTTCTCTTATAGTTGATGAAGTTTGAAACAACATATTGCCATTTTTTCTTCCTGGAGTGTGATGAATTTTGTTTTATATACATTTTTCTTTATTTTAAAATATTTATTCATTTATTTTGAAAGTTATAGTTACAGGGAGAGTGGGAGAGACAAAGGTAAAGATATCTTCCATCCACTGGTTTACCCCTCAGATGGCTGCTACAGCCAGCATTGGGCTAGGCTAAAGCCAGGAGCCAAGAGTTTCAGCCGGGTCTCCCACATGAGGGGCAGGAATGCAAACATTTGT